GCTTCCTATCATAAAAAAAAAAACCCCCCCCCCCCCCCCAAAAAAAAAAGTCCCAAGTGTGACACTTGGGATTGCATAAAGAAAAAGAAGTTCACAGTTTTTGCATGGGGCATATTATGATATCATAGTTCTAAATTATTTAGTAGCTGATTTTGCTCGCATCCACCCACCCACCCACTGAAAAAAATAAATACTGACTGACTGCCATGAAAAACTGTCACATGCTTTTTAGCCTAAAGCATATCAACAAAGTTAGTCATGTAGAAGTGCAAAAAAAAAAGATTTTCCCTTCACTTCACTCTTCCCACTGCTTGTCAACTTGCAATAAATTTTTCCTCCATAAACTAATTTTGCAATGAAGACATCCATCATAGAAGCAATATGTTAGCATCTCAAGTTTGATAGAGTGAAGTTTTTGTACTAGTTTCGGAAATAACAGCACCATTAGTTTGATATTGAAGGAATCTCAGCCCTGGCATGAATGTATTTTGGCCTTTAGGCCTAAGTCTGTCAGAACTGAGATTTAGTGAGGCTGGTTTCTTCATTAGCACAGGCTGAGTGCATTTATTTTTTTTTTTGGCTGAAGATTTGGTGTGTGTTGAAGTAAAATTCTATCCCTCTCATGAGAGTGTTGGTTTGACCATGTGGTCTTCTCTGTCAAACTTCCTCCCTCTGCTCTTACAACATATATGGTTGCCAACTTTCTATATAATCATGGGAATTTCTGTTTCTTTTATACAACAACCTTTCAATTCAATATGCTAATTGCAGTGTGCCACCTATTCTGTGATTTTCTTTTACACATCAATGTAAGACTCCATCACTATTATCAAGTTGTGTAGCATCATACTGAACTCTTTTGCCTGCTCTTTCAGTCCAAAAAAAAAGACCTATGGTACCCATGAATATGCTAATGATCTGGATGTTTTATTGCAGGGGGTAGATATTCTAAAGAAGGGGAATGGCTTGCACAATTGGATGCATTGGAACAAAGCTCTTCTAACAGACTCAGGAGGATTCCAGATAGTGTCTCTCACTCAGTTATGTGAACTAACTGAGGATGGAGTCTCATTTACATCACCTTATGATGGTAAGTTGTGCCCCTGCTCCTTATACAGGCTGGATAGCTACAATAACTTTGACCCACCATCATTCAGGGCACACAGAGATGCTGTGTTGAAATCAGTTGCATAATCAATAGAATTGTAGATGTGGAAACAGGTCTTGTTTTTCATGAAAAGGGCAAAAATGCATTTATCATAGTGTGTATGTTCTTGCAACAGCCAGCCTCATTCTTACCATAAGTTATATAAATCATATTGGAGGAGTGAGTGTTGACCAAACAGAAGTAAATTAAAGATAAGTGACATCACCCTCGATCATTTCATATGAAGTACCATGTTTCAGGGAGCAGGTTCTTGTCAGAACTTTTGTTTCTTTCTAGGTAAGCAGACTCTGCTTACTCCAGAGAAATCAATAGAAATCCAAAATGCCATTGGAGCTGACATCATGATGCAACTTGATGATGTTGTTCATGTCCTTCACCCAGACAAGGATCGTGTTGAAGAAGCCATGTATAGGTACTTGTAGAACCTGCTGTGCATCCTATTTTCTCCACATGCACTGTTATATCTCAAGTAGATTTTTTTATTGTGAATTTTCAACAACACTTGGAACTTCCATAGCTTTGGAAAGTAATTGTAAGTTGAATTGAATTACCATGAATGATGAGGCAGTTGCTGCAATTGCCAGCAAATGTTGTCTGATGCTCTTGGCAAGGTGAGGTACCAATAGCAAGCAATTCCTCCTGTAATTGGATATGGCCACTTTTTATAACTAGAATTGGAGAGACTCTCTCTCTCTCTCTCTCCTTGTAACCAAGTTATCAGTAAACATGATAATAAAAACCAATTAAGCTTAGAGGCCATTTCCAAAATTAGGCTTGCACCCTTCTCCCCTTAAAAGAAAAAGGCATTAAAATGATAAGATTACATGGTTTGAGCTGACTGGTACCCACAATTATTTCATTGTAGAATTTACTGTGATACATTTCCCAAACTCATTGGCATTGGCCTGGTGGATCAGTTTCTTCTCATTTGGTAGAGATGATCATCTTCCCCATATATAGAGGATTGTTCCCACAGGTCAATGGAGCTTATGAATGTCAGGGACAGACATTGCATTTCCCATACTTGCACCTTTGACAATGTAGTCTATTTCATTTCTGTTCTATCGATTTCTATTTGAGATGTCTCATTATTTGTTGACTGTATCGATGAGAATGGGTTTGTATGAAAAGAAATGGTAATTCTGTTATGACATATTTTCTGCTGCCTTTTTTCAAACACATATGCAATAAGAAGATAAGTGTTTTTTTTTTTATTCATTGCCTTTGAATTTCATGAAGATGGAGGCATCATGGTCATGGGTTGGATTACCACACAAAAGAGTGCAAAATACAGTGAAAACTCGTTAACTCGAATCCTGATAAGTCGAAATTCCACTTATCTCGAACTTGAATGCTTGGTCCCGGCGGAACCCCGTAGGACACCATGCTAAATGCTCCGTTTATCTCGAATTCGCTTATCTCGAATTTCCGGATGTCTCGAATGACATTTTCACTCCCGATAACGATTTTCTCACGGTTAACTGGAATTCAGGGTGTGAAGGGGGAAAAATTCTTCTCGTGGGACTTTTCGATTTTTGAATGGGATGAATGACAGGAAACCCGTTCAGGAGGATGTTCTTTTGTTTGTTTTTTTCTGCTTCCCCCTCCTCCCACGCAGACGCCTGTGGAGAGGATTAAACCTGAGGATTAAAACCGAAAAGCTTCGGCTATAAAAAAGCAACCTCCAACATTCGCTCTGTCTATTTATCGTTCTCACTCCGAGCCATTCTAGTCATATTCACTTCCTTTACGCCATTTGTGTGGAATGAGTTCACTCAAGAGGAAATTGAAGACTCTGACGCTCGAAGAGAAGGTGCACTTGATTCGGACTGTTGAAGAAGGCCAGCTGAAGAAGAAAGACATCGCAGAGTATTTCGGGATTCCTCCCTCTACACTCTCTACCATTATACGCAGCAAAGATAAGGTTTTGTGCAAATGAGAAGCGCCTATTTACAGCAAGTTGCATGGAGACGAAGACAGCCAAGCATGAGGACGTGGAAGAGGCTCTCCTGAGATGGTTTCGTGAAGTTCGTGACAGCACCACTCCCGTGTCAGGAACACTGATGAGAGAAAAAGCTGATCAACTTGGAAAGGAACTTTGAGCTGATTTTACTGCTAGTGTTGGTTGGCTGGAACGATTCAAGCACCGTCATGGCATCGTGTTCCGACGAATTTGTGGGGAAAGTGCAGATGTTCCACAGAAGGAATGCGAAAGTTGGATCGAGGAAGAACTCTTGCATGTTCTAGGTTGCTACAGGCCTTAAGATGTGTTTAATGTTGATGAAACAGGCTTATTTTTCAAGCTGATGCCAGACAAAACCATGATTTTTCTCCATGACCCTTGCATTGGTGGGAAAAAGAGCAAGGACAGAATCACAGTCCTCGTTGGTGTAAACATGGATGGGTCCGAAAAACAAAGAGCAAGGACAGAATCACAGTCCTCGTTGGTGCAAACATGGATGGGTCCGAAAAACTCCCACTGTTGGTGATAGGAAAATCCGCAAAGCCACGATGTTTCAAGAATGTGAAGTCCCTGCCTGTTCGTTACAAGTCATCGAAGAAGGCTTGGATGACGTCAACAATATTCACGGAGTGGCTGATGCAATTGGAAGATAAGATACTGAAACAGAAAAGGAAAATTCTGGTGATTGTTGACTACTGCCCTGCTCATCCACACGTTCAAGGTCTGACAGCAGTGAATTTGATGTTTCTCCCTCCAAACACGACCTCCAAACGTAAACCTATGGACATGGGAGTGATTCGCAATCTCAAGGTGCACTACAGGAAGCGACTCATCCAATACATCATTTCCGCCATTGATAAAAAGAAAGAAGTGTGTGCGACTCTACTCGATGCAATTCACATTTTGTTTTGGCATGGAAAGACGTACGGTCGTCCACTGTTGCAAACTGCTTCAGAAAAGCAGGATTTGTGCACTGAAGTGATGTTCATGAGGAAGTCGAGGAGATGGAAATCTCATGTGATCCGCATTCTTGGAGTGCTGTGGCTCATATCATGAACTGTGATGTGTCATTCAACGACTTTTTTAATTGCGATGATGACCTCAGTTTTACTGATCCGGTCACTGAGGCATCCATCATTTCCGACATCAAAGATCGCTCACGAGAGAGCGGGCCCGGGGATGAGAGTGATGGAGAGCAGGACGCAACGTACAATGCTCTACCGCCGTCTTTGAGCTATGCCAATGATGCAATGGCGATTGTGAGAAAATTCCTCCTCTCACGAGGGGAGGTGCCAGTCGACTCGTTCTAGGCAGTAGGGAAATTGGAGGACTTTCACTTCTCTATTGCAAGTTCTTTTACGAAACAAATGAAGATCACTGATTACATGTCAGAAAAGGATAAAACCAAGAGAGCCCCAGGTGAAAGGCGTTGCAATAAATGAATTTTGCCTGTGGAGTATTAAAGTTTCATTTGTGATGAATAAAAGCCTATTACTAGTATTGATATAATGGGAAGTTCGTCGCTACGTGAAATCGGACTTTTGAGGCCGGAAAAATCGCCCAATGGTTATGTCCCTAAACGTGAGATTTTTTTTTTTTGGGGGGGGGGCGATTCCTGATAACTCAAACTTCGGATAACTCGAAACGATTTGCCCGGTCCCTAAAAGTTCGAGTTTACGAGTTTTCATTGTATTTTATTGTTTCTGCTTTTGTGATATAAGGGGTGAGGTACGCGAGAACTGCGGTTATGTTACTTTCCCCGATGTAACTTATATCCATGTTTGCTAACCATACACGTATCAGTTCAGGATTATATACATTTATATAGCTACTTTCCTGCTTCCTCTTGATTGCATACCGCCGACCTTGCAGATGAGTGCCAAGATATACCTCTGTCTTCTCTTGACAGGTCGAAGAAACTTGAATCTGCAAGAACTGACCTTGTTTCCTGTCATTTTTCTTCGTCCACAATATTCATTGCACACGTGTCTCTGTCATTTATGAGGTTTGCCAGGAGAGGTTCATTATTAAGATTAGGCAATTCAGCAGTTATAAGTGAATCAATGAACTTTACAGCATATTCTTCATTACCCTCGGTTAGCCAAAGGGCATTTTGAATCCACACAATCAGCTGATAGTGAGTTTTTCCACTTTGTTGGAACTCGACCTAACCAGCCCAGGTAAAAACTTTTCCAATGACTTGTAGTCCTCCAGTTATAAATTGGGACATGAAAGTCTCAAATCTTCTTTGCACATGACGGGCTGTGTTGATAGGGTCTCTTGCAATCATTTTTGAGTTGCTCATTGTTGTGTTCTTAGGTAACTTCAAGACACTTATCAGAACTGTTCTTAGATCAAACCAGTCATAGTCACTATTACTGAGTGTTAGAAAAAAGTGGGGGATCCCAATTCATTAACAATTGCAGTCATATTCCTACTAATTGTACTCCAGTATTGTGGGGCTCCTCTTACTCCATTCAAAAATGCACTCATGTCAGCATCAATTTCAAGTGTCTTTTGCTCTATTGTCCTAATGAGAGATGCAGCCGTCAGGGTTCTATCCTTCTTCATTTTTAAAAGGGCGATTATGTTTCCAAACATAGTGTCTGACATTTTATATGCCAGGAGCTTAGATAAATATTGGTGGTCTCCCCGGAATATCCCATCCTTATTGAATATGCGAACTTTGTAATAGTCACTATTTCTCAACTTGTGTTCTCGTGCACTGTACAGCCCTGATTCACCTCTAGGAAAGAGCCAGAAGAAGCATTTTTGTTCAGTGTCTGGTTCTTGTTGTTTGACTATATTACCTTGAACTTTATCCATTTGGTACAGTTTTTCTATTGGTACATTTGGAAATACCAGTTGCTTGGGAATTAAGGTATAATGTTCTAGGTCAAATTTATTTAAAGCTTATTCACATAACTTTTTTCATGTTTACAGTCTCCAGGTGATATGGTACATCATTCTTGCCAATGGCATCGGTGCCTTTCTCATGGGAATCAATGTTTCCATGGTGGTTTTTATTCTCATTCTCACTTTGCTCAGGGTTTCCTACTCCTTCCAAAGCCTCCTCTTTCACAAGTTCATCAGGTATGTTAGGTAGCACAATTTCATCTTTGTTAACTCTCTCATTAAGTCTTATGTTTTTGTAATGAGGGTTATTTTCTTTTAGCCACTCTAATGTTTTATATACCTTGGCCATATTACCCTGCACTCTATGTATCATGTGATCATGTGATGCTGTGGTGCTAATGATGACATTCTGATTTGATGAAGGAAGTACTTCTTATGTCTCTTTGGTTGGTAGTGGAAGGTGGAAAGCCACACCTCTTGTGCCTTTCTGAAGAGTGCTTGAGATTCCTATTCCTTTGTAGGGTTTCAAAGAAACTACTGTTTGGGAGCACTTCATAGTTTGTAGGAGCTCCCTCTCTAAGAAATTCAATAACTTGATTTCTTCAGGAACTTCAGTTACATGAAGATTATTTAGAACTGATTTTGAGGGAACTTTTCCATTACCAATGAAGCCAATACAATGATGACAATAGAATCTATCTTTTGAGGAGATTTTCTGCTTTTCATTCTTATTATAATATGTTTCTAGCGCTTTCACAATGATGCTTCTACTGAGGTCTCTCCTTGGTTTTTGTAGTGCTAGGGCCAGGATGGCACTTTGCCTAGCACTGTGGGTTAAAATGAAAGGCCAGTGGGGAGCTCCATAATTAATCTATTGGCTTGACATTAATTAAAAGCAATAAAATATACTGTATGAAAATAAATAAAATAAATAAATAAATGAATAAATAAGTGAAAGACAAAGAACAATGACTCAGGCAATGGCTCAGGCCATAGGCCGGAATGTAACCAAAGTGTAAATGTTTGGCAGGCGCTAGGCCATGTAAAAACACTGAATGAACAGACCAGCCAGACTTGGGAAAACCAGCAAGGGAATGTGCGGACCAGCAAGACTTGGGAAAAACCAGCAAGGGAAAATGTGTGGACCAGCAAGACTCAGCAGACCAAGCACCACGACGAAACAAGCGCCAACTGGAAGACGGGATCCATTGACACACCCCAGCTCTGCTCCTCTCTCGTATCAATGTTCAGGTGTCATGTGAGGTAGAGGAGAACCCCCACTTGGAGCAGTTAGTGTGTTCATCCATGTCCATGCTCGATAAAAACCACTCCTCCAGTGAAAAACAGGCACAGCACAAAACTTGTTCTCAAAGCCTCTGACTAGCTGGTCTGGTCCCTTTCAGCAACACTGGATGCTGGTCCTGTCGTCTGCTCCTCAGACACGACACTACACACCGCACAGTCAATGATGTTGCTTTAAGAATTCCGCCATGACTAGCAGGTGCTATTGCGAAAAATGGAACACATCGCATTTTAGGCCAGAACTTGACATCATCCACCAGACTATCACAAGGCTTCAGAGCGCGTAAGGATCACGGTCTGCGCACATCTTCATCTTTTCCAGATAACGGCCGCGTTTGCCGCGCCTTTCAGGTTCTCAAAATAGGCGGAAAAACTGGTAATCATGACGCAGACTTGATGAGGTTACACTCGTAAAATAGGCCTATCAATCGAAACCCTTGCTCCCCTGTCCATGGTGTATGTGCGTTCCGCCCCTCTCTTAAACGTTATCTTGTGACGTCAATGGAAAAACCTATGGGGGGGAGAGGAATCCCTCGGTTTGTCTTCGCCGTTCCCATGTTTCAACAGGTGGACTCTCATTACAGTTCGTGACAGTAGGGTTCAGATGCGGATTAGCGAGTTAAGACACATGCAACAAGAATACGAATTCTTTTCCCATCCATTCTAGACTTTCGCTCACCCTTCACTCGCAATCCACTCTTGGAGGAATGAAGAGCACACATTTTCACACAAGCTTAAGTGAGAATCAATGTCCGTCGAATTCATCCGTTTCCTCTTACGTCTCGAGTCTCTCTCACGTTGAAAACCACGAGGGTTCCGGTTACCTGGAGAGGTTTCGAGCAGCCCGCGATGGACCCGTGGATCCCTAACCCAAAGACCCAAGTAGCACATAACATTGAAACAACATTGATTCAACGTTGATTCGACATCCGCACGTTGAGCCAACGTTGAATCAATGTTGATTCAATGTTATGTGCTACTAGGGGAGTAGCTATAACATTCACCTAAAACATATCGACATTCTGATTAATGAAAACTTGGAGGCGCCTCAACCTTCTCATTCTTTCACCGAGCGATTGGTACCAGAGACCAAATAAAGATATTATGAGTAAGACAGTGCACTATTTACCCTGCGTTATCTGAATTTCATGAAAGTTTGCTGTACGTTTTAGCGGCTTAAAATTAATGTTTAGTAATGTTGCTAAGCATTGACTGAGCGGCTACCAGAATTAATTTTTGCTATTCCACTGAATCGCGACCTCTTTGCGGAATCCCATGCCTGCAAAATAGTTAATAAAAAAAATCTTGAACGTTTATTAAATTGTCATTACAGGAAGGTCCATATTTTATTTCTTTACTATACATTCTGCCTGAAATGTAAGTGCTGCATTACACTAAAACTTACATGCTTCGTTACCGAAAAACTACAAAGCTTTCTCATAATAAAAGGAAGAAGACCCTTTTCCCCTAAGTATTGGCATTTTGGCATGGAATTTCCGGTATCCACGATTTGGAGAGAGGAGATTAAGTGGCTTTGTTTTCAGTGACACTCAATCTCTGTCGCCTTCACTTGACTGGAAGTCTGGTCTCGCTTGAACATTTTTTCGTCTCCACTCTGGTAAAACTTTTATTATCTTCCATCCGATGCTGGATTCTGAAGCATGTAACTCGACTTAATTTTCATGCAGGCTGTAGCATTTCTGCCATGATGTGGAGGCCACTTCTAGCCTTAGTTGGGCAAACAGCTATCTACAGTATGGGTCAAAAGTATTGCAAATTGGGAAAAATTCATATTATTCCTCTCCAAAGAGTATGATGAAACTAATTCATTCGCTACTGTAATCTCCCTTTATATACCTGCAGATAACTAACTGCATTTGCTGAGGAATACTTCTTACTACACTTTTGCGAATGCTTGGATTCAAGTCTACCCAATAATTTTTAGTTTCTGTATGAGCTGCTTGCAGCCTGTGGCATATTTCATGTACTTGACCTCTTCCTCAAGAAACTGCCTGAGAATTTCAATGAGATTTAGGTCAGGGCTGTTGTCTGCTCACTGACCCTTCCCCCAGAATGCTGGCAGGTTCTTCTGACACCAGGCAGTGGTGGTTTTGGCGGCATGACTAAGGGCATTGCCATGCATGTAGATGGCCTCTGACCTTTTTTCAACCAAGTACATCTTCAGAATTGATCCTCCTCTGGTCATCCTGTTAAAGGAAACCAGGCAGGGCTTTTGGAGGATGTTCTCCAGATAACAAATTGTGCGCATGAACTATTTTGGTTGGATCGCGTTGAGCTCTGAGTAAGCTTGATGAGAGAACATTCCCTACCCCATCTCACACAGTTGGTGCTCGACTGTGGTGACGGGAAGGAAAATGGCACAGTTTTTGCTCCAGATCCTGTCACACTGAGGGTTGAATGGTAGGAAAAGCTGAAGTACAGACTCATCTGACCATGCCACACGTATTTAGTCCAGTATTTGTACTCCACAGCAAACTTCAGATGCTTCTCCTTCATGGCGTCCATAAAAAGGAGCGTCTTGGGCCTCTTGTAGGCCTTGACACCAAGATCATTTTTATGATAGCACTAGGTTGTTATAAAAGACTCTATGTGGCCAAAATGATTTAATCTGGAGGTCATTTTTCTGCTGGACATGCCTCTTTTCCCGAGGCTTTTGCATACGAGGCTTTTGCTGAGGTTGAAAGAACTTTTGGATATCTCGGACGAGCCCTTGATTAGAGGCTCTCTGGACTTCTGGTGTTTCCACCAGCGACTGACGCTTGCTGAGCGCACTAAATGCCAGCAACCTCTCTCCATTATTTTCCGGCCTCAACCATGCCAAAGGCTTTCGCCCGGACCTCCAAAGACAGCTCATGGACCTTCATGTAGTGTGATGTTGATGCCAAGCAAAGTCAGCATTGTACGAACACAATGCAGAGCATTCTCTCGAGTTACACAGGCTATTGGAGGTATTGTTGGAGTGTCCTTAAGCTCTTTCAATGATGGCGGGAAACATAGTTTGGGGGCAGCAAACCATTAACATAGTCTGCTCGCGTTGCAATACTTTTTACCCATACTGTATGACCTAGCTAATGCATCTTTTTTTTTCTTTAAGGTTTCATTAGAGGAGTGAAACTGCTTCAACGTTGGGAAAAAACGAGAAGGCGAGAATGATCTGGGATCTGCTGTCAGCCCTTGTGTGCTTCAACTCCTACTTCTATTTTTTCCCTCTCCCCTTTCCCAATATTACGAATGTTCTCAAATGCTTTAACAGTTTGTTGAATTGTAGACTTCGTTGATATTTGTACAGTTGACATTTTGCTCTCAGTGAAATGTTTCAAACATGTGGCGCACGTCACATCAATTGACCATTGCTTTGATGCAGTTGCAAATAAGTTATTGGCTTAACCCTTTCATTCTCAGAAGGAAACCACTTCCCGGTACCGATAAGCACGAATAACCCCAAGGTGGATTAAGCCTGAGTTTGCACTGCCATCTACCCAACGAATGTTTCAAAAGAGTTAGTGCGAAAAAAGCTCACTAGGTACCCAAGTAACACAGTATGTTGATGAAACGTTTCCGAAATGTTGACTATGTTGCTCTATGTTGCAAGTTGATCTACAACATTGATATAACATTGCTTCAATGTTTTCACTTGGAATGTTGCTAC